GCCCCCCCCCGCAATGAAAGACATAAACAACACATACACAGCTTATGCTAAGAGAACCAAACACGGGGAAGGGAAGATGGTTTCGATGCGATGTGGGGAGACTGCAGTGCGAAGATTCAACAGGGCACCTGGATCTGAGCCCCCAGAAGATGCAGAAGCCCGCCCCTTTCAGAGGCACAAGTCTTCTCCTCTGATTCCAGGGACCCGAGTGAGCACCAAGAGCCTCCTTCAAGCCTCGCCACCGTAACCCTTAAACCAGGGGCCACAGCCAGGAGCCCCAGAGCGACACAGGGCCACTAAATCAGGAGGAGACCGGTAGCCCCTTTTCCGACCAACACATTTCATTAGAAGGCATCCCCGTGCCTCTGATGGAGCGACCTGCAGCTCACAAAACGTACGCCTTCTAATAAAAACGGCTGGTCAGAGAACGTGCTCCCATGGACTGACACAGCCCTCCTCTCTGGGAGCCCCATAAAGCCTTGAATGGATTCCCCACCCCAGCTGCTTAACAGCAGCAAAGACAGCTAGCCGGCATTAGAAGGATCCCCCTCAACACGGAAACAGCGCTGAATGAGACCGCAGGGGACCAGCTTAGACTAGTTATAATTTCCATGGTCTAGTTTTTCGCAGATCTACGAAATTTCCTTCAACTCCTCACTCAAATCATTAGAAAATATGGAGCCCAGGACTGTGTCTTGTGGCACCCTAGCCAATAACTTCATTTGAATGGAAACATTAGGATTTTTGAGCGTATCCACTTAATTGGCACATGATCGCCCCACACTTAACTAGCTTGCTAATCTGAACGTCATGAGGCCCTTCGTTAAATGCACTGCACTGCACTGAAATCAAGATATATTACCTCTACACCATTCCCACAATTTACTAAGGAAACTACCTGACCAAAAATGAGGTAAGATTAATCCAGCAAGACTTATTCTTGAGAAATCCATGCTGATTTTAATTTCTGGAAATTGCCACATTGTTTTCAAGCTGCTTACATATCAATAACTTTATGATCTTTTCTACCACTTCCCAGGTATTGATGTGAGACTGACTGATCTGTAGCCCCCTGGGTCCTTTTTCCCCTTTTTGAAAATAGGGGCGGCCTTTACTTTTCCTCGATTGGTTTCAGCCAAACAATTATAGGTACAGTAGTCCTCAGTTAATGACCATTTGTTCAGCAACAGTTTGAAGTTACGACAGTGCTAAACAAGGAAACTCATGGCCGGTCCTCGAAGTTGCGGCCATCGCAGCATCCCCACAATCACATGATCGTGATATGGGCGCTTGGCAACCAGCTTGCAATTATGACGGTCGCAGCGTCCTGGGGTCACATGATCGCCATTTGCCCCCTTCTCTGCTGGCTTCCCACAAGCAAAGTCAATGGGGAAGCCGTCAGGAGGTCACAAATGGTGATCATGTGACATCATGCCTAACAACTGTGAGGGATTTGCTCAGCGATGGCAACGGAAGTGCCGTAACTGCCATCATAAGTCGGTGCAGTCCCTTGACATTGCACTTTACAACCATGCTGCTTAGCGACAGAGTTCCTGGTCCCAATTACCGTCATTAACTGAGGACTAGCTGTAGCAAGTTCCTTCAATCTCCTAAAAGGCAGCTTTTCTGGCCCCGGCCGTTTAAACTTGACCGACCTTCATCTTATGTTCTTCCAGGCTGCACCCGGCACTTGCTTAACCAACCGTCTTGGGCAAAAGGCTGAGTCAGGAGACAGTCTGATCTGCACTCACCCGCTGAGGGTCCATGGATGAGGAGGATTTAATGCACGTTCCTCTGGTTCTGAGCCAGCACTGCTACACCTTGCTGGCACCCACGTTTCAGCCTAACCTAACCCATCTCTCCTTCAGAGGGGGTCAGAGCGCCTTCATGCCGGAAAGCAGCAGGCTTCGGGATCTCAAGGGTCATTCGTCTGGCCAAGTTGCACGGGGAGGATTCTTTTAAAATGCCTACTTGGTTTGCTCTCGGGCCTCCTCCGTGAAAGAGCCTGTTGTCCAGGTCCTTCTTGTAACCGGGAGAGAAAGGAAGCCCCCGGGCATCCTTCCCCCTCCTGTCAAACCCTCCACGGCCAGGCCCTCCCTGCCACCGAAGGAAGCCGAGCGAGGACAGAAGGGCCGTTCAGGGCTAAAGGAAGAGGGCCATGCTCCTCCTGCAGATTAGCCCTGCGCAGATTCGGAAATAACGGCGGATCGTCCGCATCCATTTGGGCAGTCAGGCGCTCTGCACACGTTCTAAAACCTTCCTTTTCTGAAGTTCTTGCCTTCAAAGGCTGGAGAAACTGTGCCAGACTTGGAATAAAATGTAATTCCTGCACTAACCGATTCCCCCCATTTGTAACCAGGGAGGGACGGGAAAAGGGTGCCGGGAATTTGCCAGCAGCCGCCCCAGGGGTCACTGACCTCCCCCTGCCCTTTCTCACAGGGGCCCATTAGGAAAACTGAAGTCTGAGCAACATTGTGACTGAAGCCACACAAGATGCTCAGCCTGGCTTCTTCCTGGATGAGCACACAATAAGCTAATAGGCTGGGGTGGGCCACCATGATGGGCACAAAAGAACAAACCAAGGCTTACACTAGCCATGATCATCCTGATGTACCTACGCCCCGGTGGAAGGTCCTTTCACCTGTCCTGACAAAAGTGTCCCCCAACCCTGATGCTCTCCAGGTGGGAGGGAGCCCCACAGCCTTCCTTGTCAGCCCGGGCAGTTGTGGGAGTTATGCCAGGAGACTGCCTTGCCATCTATGCTGTTTCTCCAAAGCATTGATACCCTCTATTCACTTGTTTCTAGCAGCATCCTAGCAACACATCTACGAAACTAACTCAACCGAGACTTTAGCTCCATCAGTTAGCACACAAACTGATTTCTGGGTTTTTAATTTTTTTTTTAAAACTTCGATTGATTGATTTATTTACTTATTTAAATTGGCTATAGCTGCCCACTCTGGTAGGCTCGTGAAAATTAGAAATGGAAATAAAACTAAAAAAGAAAAGAAAAATGGGTGCTGGAACTCTCCAGATTTCTCACGCCCGCTTACACGGAATGCCTCGGGCAGACCTCGGTGGATAAACGGCTACATGACAAAGTGGTCTTGCGTGTGCTCTCGCTTAAAAATGTGTGCCCTGGCCACCCAAAAGTTGCACCAAAGGAGACATCATTCTGCAACCCAGTATAAATTCTGCAACCCAAGGGAATCCTGCACCATTTCCCCTACAAAGGTGGGTTTTTTTGATCCTTATCTGTGGGTTTTGCATTCTTGCTGTGCTTGTTAAAGAACAGCTAGTCCAAAGCATTCCTTACAGCAGGGTTCCTCAACCTTAGCAACTTTAAGATGGGTGGACTTCAGCTCCCAGAAT